CTATCTATCAGGGCTCAGCAAGGCATCATCAGTTGGGTCTTCTTAACCTTGGAAAAGGAAGTCTGCCAGAATCCTCATCCTCATCACCTCATCACCTCTCAGGTGATCCATGTGACGTGAGAACAGCATTTTTGCTAGAGAGCAGTGGGGCTTTACCCCCTTAGCAAATCCCCAGTCTTGCAATCCCAGAGTTAACTGACATAATCCAGACTACTGCCGAGGCTTTTCTGCTCTTGGACTTGGATTGCTGCCTTACCTTGCTTTGTGGTGCTTTCATTTGATGATTGCAATTTGTTGTATCGTGGGTTCTTATTTTCTATTTGACATGGTTGGACTGTACCACATTAAGCCCATGTGGGTGACTGTTCTTCCATACAGAATCCTCTGTATATAGATGTTAAGGGAGGGTAAGCTAGAATTCTTTTCCTTGGCATGCTTACTTCCTAAGTGAAGGGATTCTTTCTCTCTGTGTGTATTTCCCCTTCAATTTAAATGTATTGAGTGCCATCCAATCAAGAGAGTCTCCACAGCCCAATCACAGGTCCATAATCTCTGGGAGAACTTAGATTTGTAATCATTCCTAGACCTTCTCCTTTCCAGCTCCCCACCCCCACAAACCTCACAACTCTCTGGCTACCCCATATGTCTGCTGCAAGTGGGGCAATTCTGCCAGGATGCATGGCTAAGTTGAGGTGTTTTTCCAAACCTACCGGATTGCCCTTGGATCCTTTCAGCCCTGGTTGACCTGGTGGTCCTGGATGTCCCTAAGAGAATAAAAAGGACAGGGTGGGGAAACTGCTTGAAAATACCCTTCTGGCAGAGACATCTTTCACGAATCACGAAGAACAGAGATTACTGTGCGTAGGACAGTTCTAGCCATATGGAATTAGCTTTTACATCTTGTGGGTAGGATTGTGTTTGCCCAGGAAGGTGAGGAGCCATGACTCTGTGGTAGATGAATAGTTTTGCATGACCAAGGTTCCAGGTTCAATCCTTGACCTCTCTAAGGAAGACTTACTGAAACCTCAGAGAGCTGCTGCCAAACACAGTGTAGGAAGTGCTGAGATACATGGATCAATGCCCTCACTTAGCTTAAGGCAGTTTCCAATGTGGGCTTTAAAGTAAAGCATGCAAGCACCTAAGACCTCTTTGCAAATGTTTGGAAGTGTAGTGCACCTCCTCTGGCAGGGTTTGGAAACCAAAGCCCGATTCCAATTAGGACACTTAGGTTGCAAACTTCAACATGCTAACTAGGCAGTAATCCCCAATAGAGCATGCATAGGATTGTGGCATTGAAGGGCAACCCAATGACCCGAGGACATGCATGTTGGTTCTATCTCCCATTTCTGCATGTTTTCCCTCCCTCTCTTCCACACACGCACACCCTGGCCCATGCACAGAACAACTTTCAAAAGGTGGGCGGAGGGGAGCTTCTTACGGGTAAACCTTGCTGTCCAGGTTTTCCTCTCTCTCCATCAATACCCTCTTGTCCCTAAAAGGAAGTGAGAGGGAAGATTCAAGTTAAACTGCCATCCGAGATCCTTCTTTCCTTCCAGGGGCAGAGTGGTGAGTCTGAGCAATCCTAAACACTTCATCAAACAAAGCAGGCCTGAGGTTCCTCACCTCTGGACTAATTCAATGAGGGAGTGTCCTAGTGGATAAGTATTAAAACTCTTTAACGCGCTTGACCAGTTTATTAACACCAGTTGGGCCTCCATGTTTTGGGCCAGATGCTCTCAATAAACACTCTCTAAGTTGGCCCACCACTTCCTTGCCATCAAAGCTGCAGCCCATTCATTTGTCCAATGACTCAGTGGCCAATTCAAATAACTGCCAGAAGGGAAGCCTAAAGCAGGTTAGGGATGCTGCTCCATCTTCTCCCTCTGCTCAGTCCTTGCACACTCAGATGGAGTGACAACAAGGAGGAGGAACAGCAAGGCTCCAGGCGTTGGCAGTGGCATCACACACACACACACACACCCTTTCAGGGTTGTGGGCCTTGGCAGGGGCTCTTCCACAAATGACACAAAAGATAGAGGGAAATCAGTGTTCAAAACTTCCATTGTTCTAGGCACATTTTGCGACAGGGAATTTCATTAGCGCAGGCAGTTTCTGAGCTCTGGGTGCAGTACTGCGACTAAGATTTCAGATTCAAACAGCAGAGTGGAAGGAAAGGAGGTCCTTTTTCTGCCTTCCCACTTCCAGCTACTCTCTGAAGATTGGAGAAGAGACCCTCTTAAGAATATTAGCGGGGTGGGCAGGGGGAGGACTAGACCATGTAAAAAATGAACATAACGTTTTAGCTGCAGCTCATTCGTTTTCAGCTTTGTATTCTTATTATAAAAAAGCATGCCTAGACATTCCGTTGTTGCACCCAGAACCTAGGTTTAAGGTGCCATTCAGCTCCTAACTTTCATATCTCAGTTTCTAACACTGAAGGAAATTTATGAGTTCTAAAGCAACAGAATGATTTGCATGGGTCAGTCTGTATCTGCAGACTCACAGGCTCTGTTCTTGCAGCTCACAACAATAACTACAACATTTCTCATTTATAAAGTGTCTCAGGGGCTAACCACCTTACAAGTAATTGCATTAAAAGGAAGAGGTTCACAGTCTAAAAAGACGAACATGAAAACAGAAGAAAAGAGGAGAGGAAGGGCTTTAGCTCAAGGGTAGAACATCAGCTTTGCATCCATAAGGCCCAGGGTTCAATTCTCAGCACCTCCTGGTAGGGTGGGCTATAAGGCAGTGCTGTAAATGCCTTTACGACTAAGGGAGAAGGAGGAGGCTGGGTTTCAAAGGCATGCAGTGCGATGAGTTCTGTAAGTTTATATGCTTGAGGAAAGTGGCAGGTTATCAAACACTGTCTGCAGCTGTTTGGAGCTGCTGGGAGCTGAGTAGTCTGGCAGCATATGGAAGGCACAACATTGGCTGTCCCAGACGTAGATCCTAACCATGCAAGACATGTATGATGCTCATGACACAGAAATGAAAGAAGGAGAAGGGTCAGAAGCAATTTCCCCATCTTGGTGCCTTCCAGATGCTTTGTACAACAACTCCCATCATCCCTGATGGGATGGCAAAGAGCTGTAAACTCAGTGCCTCAACACCTGCGCTGGATGCAAAGGTCCCAGGCTCAATTCCTGCTAACTCCAGGCAGGGCTGCAAATGTCTCCTGTCTGAAGCTCTGGAAAGCCCCTGCTAGCTGGAGCAGTTGTGGAGTAGCAATACTGTGCTAGATGGACCTGTGGTCTGACTTGGTATAATGACGTTTCCTATGTTCCTCTGTTCCCTGGCCACTGGCCACATTGGCTGTGACTGATGAGAACTTGGATTTTAAAATAACTGGGGGACAGGGGGAAGGCTGGGACAATGTCCAACTGTGGTAAAGGATACTCTGTTTCAAATCTCTGTCTCAGCCACGGAGCCTACTGAGCTGACCTTAGGCCATTCACAATTTTCTTGCAAGGATAAAAAAGCAAGGGCCAGGACTTGTGTCAAAGGTTTCTTTGAGCTTTCTTCAGGGAGGTGCCTGATTTAAATGCAATAAAAATGTAATACAATGCATTTTTAAACGGTGGTTCTTGTCTTGTGAAATGCCTCAGAGGCTTGCCTAGCCTACATTGTAGATCTGGCACCAGCCGGAGGTATTTTAGTTTCCCAATGTTTAAAATTCTTAGGACCTCTTTAATTTTATTTATGCAAAGCAGAAATGGAAGACAGCAATAAAACAAACAATAGCAGAACAATAAGCAAGCTGCAGGCAACTGAGTGATTTAAATAATTAAAAGTCAAGTATTAAGATGGTTATATAGGAGTTTTTATAAAAAATAAAGATATAAATCCAGTTATAACTATAGCAAGAGTGGAATGTCATCAACATGGCATCCTCCAGATGTTGCAGACTCCAGACTCCCATCAACCTTGACTGTTGGCCCCACCGGCTGGGCTGATGAGAGTTGTAGTCCAAATCATTTGGAGGGCACTACATTGGCTCTTCCAGGTTTCAATCAACTTACTAACTTTACATATTCATTTTTAAAACATTTTATAGTTATGAATATAAAATTTAATACTTGAGGATGAACATTTTGTTTAGGCTGTTTCCCTTGTTGCCTACAACAACTTGTGTCTACCTGGGTCCCCAAGATCAATCTAAACCTGCACATCCCTAAAGTTCTGGGGTCAAGTCTGTCAATCACATCACATACACACTGCAATATAAAAGGCAGGATATCCCCTAGCTCTGTGTCATGGAATATTACAAAGAGGAGATAGCTTTTCCTAAGATGGTTAATTTCCTAACCAGGCATTTGGAGAAGGACTCACAGGATAACCAGGATCTCCAGGCTTCCCACGATCTCCTCTATCACCAACTGGGCCCTAGGAAATGAAATGCAAGAGAGGTGTTAAATGCAACCCCAGTCCTCCAAGTGCCTGCTTCATCTCCCACCTATGTCAGAAGACAGCTTACAGCTGTCACCAGGAAGAAGCAGGATCTTCTTGTTGATGGTCTCATTTTAGGAATCTGTAGCATGGAAAGGCCCATCAGCTTAACCCAGGCATAGGCAAACTCGGCCCTCCAGATGTTTTGGGACTACAACTCCCATCATCCCTAGCTAACAGGACCAGTGGTCAGGGATGATGGGAGTTGCAGTCCCAAAACATATGGAGGGCCGAGTTTGCCTATGCCTGGCCTAACCCTTATCTCCTTCCCAAGGCAGGTTAAAAGGCCTTTGTGCTACTACTCTGCTTTGTTTGTAGCAGGTACCCACATAGGGGCAGCAATGCAAGCTGGCAGTTTCAGCACCATGGAAAGCTCCAAGTGAGCCACTTGCTCTGACAAAGGCTGGAGGTGAATAAACCCTCTAATCACACTTCCTAAGCTTCATCACCCTCACCTGAAGAATGTGAATACTTAAGGCAGGGATTGCCAATGTGGGGATCACACCTAAAAGTCCCCCACTCACCACCTGCTTCTTCATGAGGTGGTGAGAGTAGTTAGCTCAGTCAGTAGAGCCCGAGTCTCTTTATCTCAGGGTCATGGGTTTGAGCCCCATGTGGGGCAAAAGATTCCTGTACTGCAGGGGGCTGGACTAGATGACCATCGTGGTCCCTTCCAACTCTAGAATTCTATGATTCTATGTGTCAAACTGAGACATGTGTGACACCCCCCCAGTGCAGAATGTATGGCATCACAGCACTTGTATCACCTCAGTTTGTTGGATGTGTAGACCCAGCTTAAGTCATAGGGTTTGGCTTGACTTTGAGGGGTGTCTCATATTATAGATTAGCACTGGGCAGTCCAGATTCCTTACCCTGTCTCCAGGTGGTCCAGGAGGCCCCTCCACCTTCCCATCATCACCTTGTTCACCCTGCAAGCAATAAGCACTAGTGTTAAAACAGACCATGGTTTACAATGCGAGTAGAAGTTGAGAGTTTGGGGACTGGAAAGGACTCTAGAGATCATCTAGTTCAACACACTAGTGTACACACACAACACACACACAAGAGAGAGAGAGTGTGTATAGGAATCTTGCAACTGCAACATCCCTGGGAGACAGTCATCCAGCCTTTGCTTAAATACACTCAGTCAGGGAGAGACTGCCGCTTTTCGAGACAGGCAGTTCCACTGTTGAACAGCTTAGGAAGTTCTAATTTTGGTAAGAACAAATAGTAACCAGCTATTATTAAATATCTGCATTCCTCTCTTCTACCAACAATTACAAGCAGTGTCTTACAAAAAAAGGCAACACCCCAATAATATCTTAAATATTAAAAACCACAATATTATGGCCACTAAAAGCAGCAGCTGAATTGCAAACAGCAGTGGCACGAGAATTGCAACCTAGCGGAACAGCAAAAGTCTGTTCAAATAAAAATGTTCTGTGTGGAAGACAACAGGAGGGCGCAAGATGAATCTTTGCAGGGGCGGCGGCATTCCAAACCCTCGGCACCACTACCAAGAGGTTTCCGTCTTAAATACTTGCTCACGCCTGATGACAGCAGAGAGACTGCCTCTGACATAGTTCTAAAAGGGAGCCATCCCTCTCTAGCTTAGATACATACCAAGTGCAAACCAAAGCAGGATTTTAAAGCCGCATAGTGAGAAGCAAACAACTCCCATTATGCCTGATCGCTAGCCATGCTAGCTTGGGTTGATGGAAGTTGAGAGTCCAAAAGCAAAACTGAACTACAACTCCTCCCATCCCTGGCCACTGGCAATGCTGGCTGAGACTATTGGGAGTTGGAGTTGAGAGGCCCAGTGCTTCTTGTGCCTGTCAATCTGAGGACCTTTGGTGTCAGGTTGGCAAGCAGGGTCTCTGAGCCCACTCTCAGCCACAAAAGCTGGAAGTGCTGAATGGGATGTTTTGCATGCATATACGGGTGGGGTTTTAAATTGCTATTAAAAGGCGGGCAGCCCCCTTCATGTGTGGTGGGGAGGGACAAAACTGAAGATTACATTGGCATTAAAATAAAATAAAAATGCAATCTTTACATGCACATGTAATGGGACAAGGTGTGGGGGGGAGGGGGGAGCATACCCTCCAACATTTCTCCAGTGAAAACAGGGACATCCTAAGGAAAACTGGGATATTCCAGGATCAAATCAGAAAGTGGTACGGCTTCTCTAAATCAGGGATGTCCCTGGAAAACATGGACACTTGGAGGGTCTGCAGGAGGGACAGAACTGACACCACTGCAGAGAGAAACAAGAGAAACTGCATACCCTCACCTGTTTTGAGTAACAGTGGTACCTCGGTTTAAGAACAGCCCTGTTTACGAACTATTCAGTATACGAACTCCGCAAAACCGGAAGTAGTGTTCTGGTTAGCAAACTTTACCTTGGTCTACGAATGGAAGCCAAATGGTGGAAAGGCACCAGCGGAGGGAGGCCTCATTAGGGAAAGCGCGCCTCAGTTTAAGAATGGTTTTGGTTTCAGAATGGACCTCTGGAACGGATTAATTTTGTAAACCAAGGTGCCACTGTACATATGTTTGCAAACAACGACAATAGACTCCAGTCACATAACTGAGGGAGGCAGTAGAAGTCTTTCTCTCTCTCCCTCTCCCATGTGTGTGTGTGTGTGTTACGGGGGAAGGGGAGGGAGGAATCTCTTTGCCTTAATTCATGGTCGGGTTTTATTTGGGTGTCTCATGGTTGAGCCTCCCAGCTCCCAATACCCTTTGTGCTAGATTCCTATTTGGCTAAAGCAAAACTTAAAAATAAAAAAGTTAAGGGAGTAAAACACAAACAAACAAACAAACAAACAACCCCCCAGCCCTGAAAATAGAAGTGTGGCTACAAATGGAAAATGCAGGACCAAGGGGAGGCCTCCCTCACTCTTGGCTGCCTTCCCGGGGTGGGAAGTATCTGTTTGTAATTTTTAAAAATCTTCCAGCTGGAAAACCCCTAGCTCTCTGAGGCCACTTTGAGAAGTTGTAAATGTACTATACTCAATGGGGAAGGATAATTGACTGTGATGCACCATGGAAGTCCATGCCAACATTGTTAAGTTCATTTGGTCAATAATTGCTTTTGGGGACACCAGTTCTGCTGTAGCATTAAGGATTCTACTCCCTTGGCAATATTAACTCACTAAGTGTCCCACCCACCCCCAACAGACCCAGTTTTCCATTTGTTCTGATCAGTGTTCGAAAATCCTATTGTTCTAGGTGCATTTTGTGACAGGGGATTTCATGAGTGCAAGCCGTTTCTGAGCTCTGGGTGCGCCTAAGATTTGAGATTAAAACTGCCGAGTGGAATGAAAGCAAGACCTTTTTCTGCCTCCCCACTTCCAGCTACTCTCTGACGATTGGAGAAGAGACCCTCTTAAAAATATTAGGGGGGTGGGCAGGGGGAGGACTAGACCATGTGAAAAATGAACATAACATTTTAGCTGCAGCTCATTCATTTTCAGCTTTCTTGTTATTAAAAAGCGTGCACCCAGAATCTAGGTTTAAGGGGCCATTTAGCTCCTAACTTTCATATCTCAGTTTCTAACACTGAACGAAATTTATGAGTTGTAAAGCAACAGAATGATTTGCGTGGGTCAGTCTGTATGTGCACAGTTGTACACTCACAGGCTCTGTTCTTGCAGCTCACAACAATAACTACAAAACTTGTCATTTATAAAGTGTCTCAGCTGCTCACTGGTTTTGATGATATCCATTTAACCAAGAATGTAAAAAGAGCCCTGCTGGATGAGGCCAAAGGCCCATCAAGTTCAGCAAGGTCTCACAGCAGCCAACCAAATGCCTGTTGGAAGCCCACAATGAGGACTTGAATGCATGAATGCTCTTCCCACTTGTCATTCCCAGCAACTGACATGCAGAAGCATAATCCTTCTGGCAGAGGAGGCAGGCAATAGCCCTTGAATCTAGCCATGGATAGTCTTATCCTCCATTTATTTGTCCAATCCTCTGCTAAAGACATCCACATGGGACACCCAGTACCTCTTGTGGGTGCATTCCTCTCTAGGAAATACGGTTTTGGGGGCACCAGAGTAGTGCTGCTGAGAAAGCACCTGGGTTCAAATAATCCTCCCTCACCTATGTAAATTGACTGAGTGCTCTTGAGACAATTACTCTTTCCCAGCTTAACCTACCCTGGCAGGGTTGCTGGAAAAAAAAATTGTGGGTGGGGAATTTGAGATGTATGTAATGAACAAAAATGAAAAATGAATAAAATTTTTAAAAAGGAAAATAATTGTGGGGAGAACCACGACCCCCCCTTATCCTGAGGATAAGATAAAAAAATAAAATGTATAACTCGAAAAACAGGTTAGGTCAGCAGGAGCGGACAAGCTGCCCACCTCAGTCCTCTGGAGATTTTCTCCATATGTGTGCTAAATGTGTTGGGAGCAGGAAGCACTTGAATCCTACTGGCCCTGCTCCCTTGACATTATGCGAAGGAGAACCTGTGGGTTTACAGTCCTACAAGCACAGGTGCTCCATGCAAAAGGGACCCCTGATTGCACACAGGTTCCCAAAGGTGTGACACATTCCCTACATGCTTTATAGGAAAGGACCCATGCAGAAGGCCCCACGTTCAGTCCCCAGCATCTCCAGGCAGGGCTAGGAGAGACACCCAGGTTCCAATCCTGGAGAGCCACTGCCATTTGGTGTGGAGACAATACTGAACTAGATAGACCAATGGTGTAATTCAGTATAAGGCTATTGGTGTAATTCAGTATAAGGCTATTCAGCAGATGTACACCATATATTTAGCGAATCTTGGAGGTTTGAAAAAGGCCCCTCATTTACTTCTGACGAGGTTCTGAAATTAAATCTATTCCCTCTCTTTCCCTTCCTGGGAAGTGTTGCAAGATATTACTATAAATACCAACACTCAGGTGACCAGCTGTGTCCAGAGCACAAATATGAACTAAAAGGCAGTTGGTATTGTTCCCTCCCTGCCCCCTGACGCTGCCCTGTCCTGAATGGCAAGTCATTAAAAAACCCGAGTCACTAGCTTGAACTGGTTATCATTAAGCTGACAAACAAAAGCCTTTGGCCTGGGGAGGAGGAAGAAACAGGGAGCAGTGGAATAATGGCTGAGTCATGACAGCTGCAGGTGGGGGTGGTTGGTTGGCGGGGCGAGATTTCTGAAGAACAACATGTCATCCTCAGAAGAAACATGGAGCACAGGCTAGTAGAAAACAGACCCTTTGTGCAAGATTTATGCAGCACCCGAAGACAAGCAGCAGACAAGGCCTTCTCCAGAACAAGCCCCCCAGTAAAGTGCAAACGTCCAGACTTCAACCACAATGCTAAAATCACGAGATGTTTCCGTAAGGATGTTTCCAAGATGGCAAAAATTATAGATGGCAAATCTTAGCAGCTGCAGGACCAAGGCATCCCATTAGGCCTAGGCCTATCCATTTGGCCGGGGGGGGGGGGGGAGGGACATGTCAGCCATGTCACACCCACCTGCCTTATAGTGAGGTGCAGGTGCAGCTGAGCCAAAAGGCACCACTGGGCAGCTAATTGATGGGTGCTGCCTGTAACACCCTGTGCAGGTGTTCTGTTCAGGGGGCTTTGCAAGTGCCATCGTTACTGGTAAAG